CAGTTTTTTCTCCCGCCCAGGCGGGGGGTCAGACTTGAAGATCTACAAGGTCCCTTCCGACCCTACTTCTATGAGTCTATGATTACCCTAAGAAAGTTTAATGGTCTTGATGTTCCGCCCATCAAGACCATTAAAGAGGAGAGAGTTAATACCTCTGAAGTGAAGAACAGTGAGCCAATAAGTCAATTGATTCCCTCAGGGGCCTGAATAGTAATGCAACAGCTGCTACGCTGTGGAGCAGGAATCAAAGCAGGGATATGTCTAAGTCAGAAAGTCAGTTTCCCTGTCTAAACTGTGCACACCAATTCTGGGGTGTGGGGGTGTGTGCCCAATTTTTGGGAAAAACATGTATGTGAGAAAATATCTTCCATGTTTCAGGTGTATTAGTTATAGCCATGTTGTTCTAAGGACATAGGTGGACAAGGTTCTTTGGGTAAATATGGGTACTTTTATTACACCAACTAAGTAGTTTAGTTGGGCTAATAAAAGATATCACATTTATGCAAAGAACCTTGTCTGCCTGTGAGAAAATATGGCACTTGGAATCATAGCCTGCAAGTGAGGATATACAGCTCCAAGGCATCCTGGTGATGGCTTCTGGATAGAGGCTCAAGCTGGGGGTAATCCAACCTTTCCCAGAAAGATTCCTTAAGTAAAGGAACCTGGTCCTTTCCCTACTAACAGTGCTTGGCACAAAGGTTACACTTCTAATGGGAAAATGGGCACAAGGGAGGTGTCAGGATTGGAACTGGCTTCTAAATGAGCTGTAGCAAGGTCAGCAGTAATAATGACACCTAGTTCTTCTGCAGTTTTTCACATCAGTCAATCTCATTGTCCCTATTCTGCAGCAAGGGAAAACAAAGTTCAGAGGAAAAGTCACATGGCAGAGCAGTGGCAGAGCTAGGAAGAGGATCCAGGCCTCAGCTCCATCTCTGTTTCAAAGGGGTGAACATATGAACTTGGAGCCCTGGTAGATCACTTGTAAAGCAGACATCTGCCACTGCCCATTAAGGGTGCCATCATTCACATGGGATGTTCCCCCAGCCTCCTGACAGGATGCCCTGTGTTTTTTTGGCAGGGGTGGGGGGGAAGGGGGCTGTTGTCACAGGCAGCCACCACATGCTGCCCCAGGGGCAGCTGCATTCCAGCAGCAAAGCATGAAGTTTGCAATTCCAGAATATATGTTTGAGACCTGGGAATCTGTGGGGAGCCTGGTTGGAAAACAGGCCTGATGCATGACAGCCAGCAGGTGACAGTATCACACCGCCTGCCTGGGTTAACCTCCTCCTCTCCAGGGAGAGGACACAAGGGGTACAGGCCTCCCAGGGGACTCAGCTCCTCATTTATGTTCAAATTCCAAGCACACGTGTGCTGTACTGCTTGCCTGGACAGTCCCATTTCACTCTGAGAAAGGGAGAGAGATGTTGTGTAATTAAACAGAATTAAAAGGGAGATTGAATTTACAGTCACTAACCTCACTGTGATCCCTTTAAATTAGGAGGGGTTGAGTACAGGGCCTGTGGGCTGGATCTGGCCCGTGGATCTCAGATCAAGCCCACATGTGAGATATGGAACCAGTCTGGCATGTGGGTTGGACCTGTGCCTTGGCAAGGCACTACTTGTGGCACAGGGGATTGGTTCAGGGTGTGAACTGTGGATTGGGTCATGCTGGAGCCAGGGCACAAAGCTCTTTGGTGGGGCTGTGCCACACATGCCCTGTGTCAGCTCCTTGTGCCACTAGCACTTGGTCCAGCCTGTGAGCCAAGTGCAGTGCATGCCAGCCCCACACTGGAGCTTGCGCTGCCTGTGGCGTGTAGGCTGGACCTGGTGCCACAAGCACTGTATGGCCCATTGCACAGGGGGCCAGAATGGAGTGGCTGAAGTACCCCACTGGACTGGCTCTGCCCACTGGCTCTGGCAAAGCTCAATCTGGCCCACAGACTGGTCCAGAGACCCTCATCTAGCCTACTGGTTCCAATGTGTTTGTCACGCCCTGGTTTAAATATCCCAACCATGGGGCAAGAGCTGGGATCAAACAATTATAGGCTGTGTGCAATTGGCTAGGTCAGTGGCACAGGCTGTTTTCCATGCCCTGGCTGGACAGGAGTGCACAAAGAGACTCCTGGAAATCTGCTGCCTCCGCTGCTGAGCCGTGTATGCAAATCAACTCCTCACCCTCCCAACACGGGCACAAAAGAACAGTGACCAGTACAGAAGACTTTCTCTCCTACATCTCAAAGCCAGCATGATCATCTCCATCTTGGAGACAAGGAACCTGAGGCACAGGGGACAGAAGTGACTTGTACAAACTCATGTACTAAATATGTGGCATAGCTGAAAACAAAAACCTAGGAGTCCTGACTCTGTTCTCAACACTAGACCATCATTCCCTGGAGAGGGGCACAGAACCCAGGCACCCTGTTGCTCCGTACTCTGTAGAGCATGAGAAAGGGATCAAAGGGATCGCTGTGCCCCAATACCATTCTCTTGGAAGGTAGTTTTCTTAGTTTCTTGCTGAAAGCATAATCATTCACCTGGCTTAACAATGGCCATGATTCTAGGTCAGACCCACCTCCCTGCTGGGCTGGCTGGGGGCACTGATATGCGACAAGTGAGCAGGACAGTGACCTCTTCTACAAGTTTCCACAGTTGCACAGCAGGGACAACAGAGATTTCCCAAGATCAGAAGTGGATCAGGGCAAGACGCAGAAGGGAGCCAGCCTCTCATGCATTGATTTACAGAGAACCAACCCCAAATGGACTGTACTAGAGAGAGAGGCAAGATGTGACTATGGAAAAGGCACCAACCCCCTACCCCGACCATGAAGCACATGGGGCCAGTAATCACACACCCCTTGCGGAGTCACTGTTGGAGTTCTCAGTGAAATATTTATTACAAAGAATCAAGCAAATGGGATAATATTTCCCCCCCTTCCCTCAACAAACAATAATAAATAAATAAAATACACTTCTTTTAAATAGTTTGTTAAATGACGGAAATACAAGACATCTCTTTCCTTTAAAGTTGCTTTGCAAAAAGGCTAGGGCTGTGTTGAAGACACCTTCCTAGCCCTCCCCCACCCCGCTGCCCCCTGCTGGCTGAAAGCAGATTTGGCCATGGGCATGTCCTAGACCCTGCCTTGCTGAGGGGGATTCTCTACTCCTTGGCCTGGCAGCAGGAGGGCCCGTGGCAGTTGTGAGGTGTGGGGCAGCAGCATAGAGACAGCCGTGACACGTGGTGGTTACAATACATTGAGGTGGCTGGAGCTTGTAGGTCTCAAAGCACTTAACAGACGGGTGCTCGTTAGCCCCGGGGTTCACAAACGGGGAGGACGAGGCACACACACAGGGAGAGTGACCTGGCTCCATGACAGAGGTGGATGTAGAAATCCGGCATTGTCATCCCCTGTTGTAGCAGCTAAGTTGCCTGGCTGGAAATCATCAAGCAGCCTCCATGGGGAAGACGGCCACTACCACCCCCTTCTCCCCACCCAGGACAGAGCAGCACTAGTCTAGAAAGGCCCCTCGCTCTGGTCAAAGGCAGTAACTCCTAGCAGTACCTGAGAGCAGGGGTTGTCTCGGCCCCCACTGAAACCAGATGCAAAGCTTAACACCCTGTCAGGGGGAGCAAGGTGAGGCAGGGCCCCTGGCTGTAAAGCCACCACTCAAAGCCAGGCGAGCAGGGAGGTGCCAGCCCCTGCAGGGTGTATGGGTACAGAGAGACAAAACCCAGAGAGCTCACGGGGGGGGGAGCAGCTGAGACAACCTCCAGCCCATTCCCAAGGGACACAGAGATGGATGGACACATGTTGGCACACATGGACACAGGTACTCCATGAATGGGCAGCAAAGGACCGAATGCTTGTTGGTCAGAGAGACACTGCCCAGAACAGGGTGGGGAGACAAGGGAAAGGGCACTGGGCAACCTCACCCATTTTAGGTTGGCCAAAGCCACGTTTTGGCAGAGTGTAGGGGATGCAGCTCTGCCTGGAAGGTCACAGGTCAGGCACAGCTTCTCTGGGCTCAATCCAGCCAGATTCCTCATGCTCAGGACCAGGGGTGGGTGAAAGGGGCAGAGTGCCAGCTGGCAGGGAGGGGAAAGGCCTGGAGGGTTCTGGGCAGATATTACAGGCCCAGAGAGAGGAGATGACTGGGGAGGGGCTGAAGGTTTTGGCCAGGTAAAAATCCCACCCCTTCACCTGAGGTCCACAAACAAAGGGGCTGGGTACTTTGGCTGCTGCCCCTAGCATGGCACAAGGTGACACGGCAGGCCAGGACTGAGGAAGCTGTTAGTACACAAACCACTCACGTTAGACACCCCCTTCCCCCCAACCCAGTGTGGAAATGATCTCCCTTCCCCCTCCCCCACTCAGGGGCATTTCGGGTGCCTATACACATGCAGTGAGGCTGCTCCAACGTGCTGTAATTACAGCACATTGGAGCAGACTCGATTAATCGAGTCTGCTGGAGCATCGTAATTGCTGAGCTCCAGCAGACTGCAGCTGGTCACGTATGTCAGTGTCCCTGCACTGAAAAATGGTGGTGGGGGCACTTTAACTAAAGCTCGTTCGACAAGCTTTAGTTAAAGTGTCCCCACTGCCATTTTTCAGTGCAGGGACACTGACGCATGTGACCCTCTGGGCGGTTTAATTAGAGCAGCTCTTGCAGCTGCTCTAACTAAAGCATGTTTCTCATGAACAGTGTATAAACACCCTTCTGGAAGAGCCCCTCTCCCCCACTAAGGGGTGCCAGACACCATTTTGCAAAAATAGCCTGTTCTGCCAGAAACTCTGTCTCCCTGCCTTCATTTCAGCCCAAGCTCCTCAAATGGAAACACCCCGCAAAGCACCTGCAGTCTGATGACAGCAGCTTTGTGAAGGGGAAAACCAAACAGGCCGGGCCCCAGGGAGAGGGTAGCCCAGGCCAAGACGCCATCACAGGGCACTGCCTCTCCTCAGGCAGTAGGCAGGATCACTGGCGAAGATGAGTGCCCCCAGCAAGGGGGATTGCTTTGATGTCACATGGGACTGGGATGTCCTGGAACTGCCCCTGACACGCTCGGCCAAGTCTCCTCAGCCCACCAGAAGAACACCCAGCCTATGGCATTACACACAAGCTTCCCCCCATGCTTTGAGTCAGCATGGTGCAGATCAGCTAGGAGTCCAATTAGATCCAAACAGGTTAGCCCCCCTCATTCCCTCAATGCCCCGGCCTGGGGTGCGCCCACAGCAGTACACCACACATGCATGCAGGCTGGAGTGCAGGCATCCCCACCCCCAAATCTGTTGTGGCTTAGCACATGAAATAAATCCATGGGGGGCTGGAGGCTGAGGCACTGGAGAATAGAGACAGGTCAAGCCATGATGGGAGGCAGGCTATGGTACCATTGCTGGGGTTACGGCTGTCTGTACGGACAAAGGGCTGGACATAATCATAGGCACTGGACAGAAGAGGAGATTCCTCTTTGCTGGGCAGAGACTGACTCCCCCCAGCTATCAGAACTCTCTAAAGAAACCAGGGGTAGTGGCACAGCTTCCCTCTTCAGCTGGGTTGTCAAGAGCACCATGGAAATACGATGGGATGGGGCAAGGATGCAAATTGGGGAGAAGCTGAGCCTGGGGTGGGGAAGAGGAAGATGGAGAAAGGCCGCCCCCCTAGACAGCCCCAGAAGTGATTAGTTACAGACCAGGGTTGAACATGCTTTCCTTCCCCAGGGAGTGGGGACGGACAGTGCCCAGCTCTAGGCTTCCCACCCATTGGGGCAGGGCCATGGCAGGCAGCAGGGGAGCTGGCTGGATCCATTTGGTCACTTACTCCCTTTGGGGGCAGGGATGGCCCGAGGCAACAGTGGACGCCAGGGCGCCCCTCCTCTCTGGGTACCCAGGGGACCCACAGAGCCAAGGAGGGGCTTAAGGTGGAGGTGAATATTCACAATCTTATAGGAGGTGAGAGGGGCCCCAGGAGTGTCGGCAGGGGCCCCCTCTGGGTGCTGAGTTGGGGGGGCCTGTGTCACCATTGGCAAAGGGGTCCCCATGGCACTGCTGGCAAGGGAGCCCCATATGGGGTGGGGGGAAGGCAGGGGAGCCCTCATCCAAGCTGGATGGGGGCACTGTACAATCTGAGGCCAGCCCTGGTTAAGGAGGGAAGGGCCACCCCAACCCAAAACAACCAAAGTAGGGAAGCCCCATAGTCAGGGGATCTGGGGAGGGGGGGAAAAGATCCCCGCACACCACCCCTCTCCTGCAGAGGCAGATGCCCTGGCTCTAGCGGATGTACACGTCCCGCCCCCAGGCTTCCATGTCATTCTTGTTCATGCCCATGGCCTCCTCCTCGTTCTGGCAGTAGTGGTCTCGCCCCTTGCCCCGAGGTTGCCGGTTGTGGTTCTCCCGATCTGGCTCATCCTCATCCCAGGAGCTCTGGTGCAGGCGGAGGTGGTGGCGGCCCAGCCCTCGGTGGTAGGCACCGGGGGTGCTGCACGGCTCAGCTTCAGGCTCCTCGTAGGGGTCTGTCTCCATGTCCATGCAGGAATCACCCGGCTCTGTGTAGGCCGAGTCACGGCTGCCCTGGGTCTCCGAGTCGAAGGTGTCCTGGCGTGATAGGCCACGGTTGACTAGGCGGGCATGGGGCTGGCCTGGACGCCCCTGGCCACGGGTGGCCGGCTCCCCTGGGTAGTCATGAAGGCTAGCACGCTCCCCCTCACGCGTCTGCTCCCCATGCACTAGGTAGGGGCCCTGGTTAGGAGAAGCAGCAGCACACCATGCAAACGGGAGAAGATAAGACAGGGTTAGTCTGCCCCCTAGGGGCCACTGGTGGCCACTTAGTACAGTTAATCCACACACACCATCAGCAAAGCACTGCATCTGGGATCAGTGCACATGCACTTCTGGCCTGCCGAGACCTGGTGTGCGATCCCAACACAAGTGAAATGAAGTTGCCGAGTCTTAGCCCAGCTCCATGCTTGAATAAAAACCCATCCAAGGGAACAAACCTGTATTACAGATTCATCAAAAGGGTTTTCTCAGGTGGAGTTGGAAGCTGGAATGGGGGCTGCAGGCTAGGCCTGAGGGGTGGCAGAACAGCTATGTGGGTAGGGTAAGGAGGCTTAGGCTGGAAAGGGCTGGGGGTGGGAAGCCAGGATTGAGAGGTACCAGCAGAAGTGCAAGAGTGAACTTGCCCTGGTAGCACAAAGCCAGGGCTGAGAGATCTGCTGGAAGTCAAAGAGAGTTAGCAATGCACGACATCATCCCTACCACAGCCCAGGCAAGTCAGGGCATGGTGCCAGCGAAAGCAGGATCCCCACAGGGGTCTGCCCAGTTGGAGACCCTCTGTTACTACTCAGAAACCCACTCAAGCAGCAGCAGCCTAAGAAGGTCAGGAGCAAACACAAGGGCAAGTAATGCCAGATCCCAGTCCTGCTTGGAGACCCCCAGGCCCTGCCCCTGGGTGATACAGTGCAATGGCACAGAAGCCTGTGGAGACCAAGGTTAGCTGGTTTGGGGCAGGAGCCAGGATATCCAGGAAGGGGCAAAGATGGGCTCTTCCAAATGGGATGATCTGTTGGGTTTCATGGCACCAGAATGACTTGGGGTATCTGAGCTACTAGCCAGGCCACAAGTGAGCCTGGGCTACATCTCAGTTCCTAAGGGTGAACCTTCCCCTGGAGATACGGTAGCACAGATTTCAGAAGGTGCCTGTTTCCAGTGGTTGGGCAGGAGCTGGAAGAAAGGATCCAAGCCCCTTGCCAGAGGGGTCTTTGCACTAGTGGCAAAGGCATTGCACCGAACTCCTGGACAAGGGCATGTCTGACCCCTACTTAACAGCTGTACCTGGGCTTCGCCCCAGGCCTGGCTGTTGACAGCACTCTCTGACATGGGTAGGAAGTCACCCCTTGCCCCAGCCTTCCTGACTGTCCTGCAGTGCAAAGCCTCAGGTTGGGCAATTACCCAGAAGGTTTGCACCTAGTCTGGGAAAGGGGCCTTCCCAGAATGTACTTCTCCAAAGGCACAAAACAGGTCATCAGAGCCCAGCACTCCACGACTCCTGTGGGGCTTGGCCCAGATCTCCAAGCGGAGGGGAGCCTTTACACCAAAGCAGGGGGTGGGGCATCAGCAAGGCACCTCCTGGAAAGAGCTTGGCTCCTGGGTGCATGGTTGCAACTCTTGGGTGGCGCTGGGGGGGAAGATTCCTTGTTCTCCCCAGGGGGTGACACTGCTCCCAGGTCCTGAGCCTTAGAGCTACAGCTGGGCAGCCTCCATTTGGCTCAGATGATGCTCTGAAGAGCCCCTTCCACTGGCATGGCACCGAGGGCAGTGGGGCCAGAGGGAAGCAGTTTCCACAGGCACTTGCAGGGGTGCATTCAGAGGGTGGGGATCAGCTGGGGTTTCCAAAGTACATTTCCTTCTCCATGTTCACTGAAGGCACTGCCTCCTCCTCTTCCACCTCTTAAAGCTACAGCGCATGCTCCTCCACCTTGGGCTGGGCCCTTGGCCCCAGCTCCGGGCTACCCTTCCCGCCCCAGAAGCCCAGGTTGCGCTTGAGGGAGGTCAGCACCTGTACCTGGAGGTTGGAGACGGGGGCTGGACTGGCAGCTAGGGCAGCGGTAGCCATGGTGCGGTTCAGCAGGGGATTGGGTGGGTTGCTGCTGGGTGGATGCGTGGCCTTCCAATAGGCTTCCAGGTACTCAGATAGGTGCTCACAGGCATCTTCCAATTGGTTCTCATCCAGGATGATGTCAAACATTTCCTGCAATGAGAAACAAAGAGATAGGGAGGAGCAGGGCAGGGGGAAGCCAGCTGGAGGTGATGTGGGGCGGGGCTGAAGGCAGAGCCACAGCTAAGCTGGAGGTGATGGGGTGGGGCCAGGGGTGGAGCCATGGCCCAGTTTGGGGGGTGTGAGGTAGCAGGGGTGGCCGATCAGGGGCAGGTACTCAGTTGAGCTGAGGGAGTGGGGCCTCACCAACCTAGGTGAGGGCTCAGGTGGGCAGAGCCCAGGTACTCACCGGAGGGCACTGTGCCAGTTTGTCTGATGCCACCATCTGCACATTCAGGTGTTTGGCCTGGGACTTTCCCCGGGACTTGACCAGTCTCTGGAGCACCTGTGGTGGGAGAAGGGTGAACACTGGGGAAGGGATGAGGGGACACCAGGCTTCTGAGGAGATGCTGCCTTGCTTGCCCCTTCTCTCCTTGGAGGCTGCTGCTCTGTGGAGGGGCTGAGTCTGGAGATCAGGCAGGAAAACTGTTTCATCCTTTTGTGATCCCCACCTGGGGTTCTTCTGCCCTGTCAATACGCTCATTCCTAACCTGCAACCCACGCTATCCCAGCCTTTGGCTCCAACAGGCACAGCGCTGCTTTGTCCCTCAGCCCTGCCACACAGCTGCTCTGGCTGTTTGAGTCTTAAGCTACTCTCTTATATTTAAAAAACAATACAGCAATGAGGAGGAACATCACCTGGAGGGCAAGCCTGAAAGTCTCCAACTCATCACACCACCGACCTAAATGCAGACTGGGCTGTTTCATGAAGCCAAATGCCTCAGCACAGTCCCACCCCCCCATCACTTCCTGGGACATACAGAAGGCTCAGCAGGGGATCTCCTCTTTGCTATCCTCTGGCTCCCTGGCACAGTCTGATCCAGGCAGCAAACACCTGTGTACTCTGCTTATGTACATACCCAAGAGGTACATAATTCACACAATGCCAAGCCCCCTTTGTTGTCTTCTGCAGACATGGTCTCACACACCAGTTATTTGTACGTCAGATTAAGTGCAGTGGTGCGGAAACTATGGCTTGTGAGCCACAAATGGCCCTCAAACACTGTGTAAACAGCCTGTCACCAGAACGAGTTCACCAGTATGTCAGCATGGGCTCTGCTTTTGCATGGCTCAGAAGCCCAGGAGGTAAATGCTGCTTCATCTCCTCTTTTACTTTGCCACTGAATTCAGTCAGGATGAAGAAAAGAAGTGAACAGCGGTGGCATTCATCCCCTGGGCTCCAGAGCTGTGCAAAATCAGTGGCTCCAGCTAAGGCCCATGCTGACAAGGTATTGAGCTCAGAGAGCTCACTGTGCATGGGCCCACAGCCAGAGGGGGTGTGGGTGTGCCCACAGCCCTTGGTCCATTTCTGATTTTAACTGGCTACACGCATAGCAGCTTTCATCCCTACTGCCTGTTTTGTAACTTAACTGTACTCAGATTATCTACCCACTCCAGTGATGCTCAGTGAGGATGCTGCAGCACTCTGGTGTGCCGTGACAGCCTCTTAAGGATGCCGTGCAATATTAGCAGTGTTAGGTGTGCAAAAACCTATGCACAATTCACAAGATAACCCCAGAGATTTCAAGTAGGAATCTGCTGTGTGGAAACCATTCTGACCTGCTGTGATCTTTCTTGAATTCTCTGCAACAGAATAATTACTTTATTATTTTTCTGTAGTTAAAAATAAATCGGGAGTAAAAACTGAGAGTTGGCATTTTCCGAGGATGCCTCGAGTCTGTCAAAGGGTGCCCTGGCTTCTACAAAGGTTGAGTGCCACCGTGTAAATGACACAGCCGAGATATTTCTGGAGTCACTTTCTGAGTGGAACTGTACCTAACAGACAAGGTTTATAATAATA